GCCCAGAAGACGCTGTTCCCGCTGCGCTCGATCGACGACGTGGTGCGCCTGTTCGCCGCCGAGCTGGGCCGCGAGGAGCCGGACCTGGTGCTCCTCTCCTTGGTTCTGGGCTTCGTGGAACATTTCCTAGCTGTCAACCGCGTCATCCCCACCAACGTGCCCGAGCTCACCTTCCAGCCCAGCCCCGCGCCCGACCCTCCCGGCGGCCTCACCTACTTCCCGGTTGCTGACCTGTCCATCATCGCCGCGCTCTATGCTCGCTTCACCGCCCAGATCCGAGGTGCCGTCGACCTGTCTCTGTACCCCCGGGAGGGGGGCGTCTCCAGCCGAGAGCTGGTGAAGAAGGTCTCCGATGTCATCTGGAACAGCCTCAGCCGCTCCTACTTCAAGGATCGGGCCCATATCCAATCCCTCTTCAGCTTCATCACAGGTTGGAGCCCCACAGGTGGCAAGGGGCACGAGTCCTGTCCCATCTGACAGCTCGGCCTGCCTCTTCGCAATACATGGTTTACAGAGCCCTTGTGAGACCTATAAGCCTTACGAGGTGGGGCAGGTGTTGATCCCCCCTTTGCAGCCGCTCCTACTTCAAGGATCGGGCCCATATCCAATCCCTCTTCAGCTTCATCACAGGTTGGAGCCCCACAGGTGGCAAGGGGCACGAGTCCTGTCCCATCTGACAGCTCGGCCTGCCTCTTCGCAATACATGGTTTACAGAGCCCTTGTGAGACCTATAAGCCTTACGAGGTGGGGCAGGTGTTGATTCCCCCCTTTGCAGAGAGGGGACGTGAGGTGCCAGAGTCACACAAAATGGCAAGACTAGGACTAGATCCCAATCACTTGGCTCCAAATCCATTAACCACCCTTTGCCCCGTCAGCACCCGCACCCCTGCCGTTGAGCAACTATAGGAGTCCTACAGCCCAGCCTGAGGCACAGAGGGCAGCAGCAGCTTGGGGGGTGAGGAGCCAAAATCCGGCTGCATTTGGGACGATTAAATGAAGTGTCTATGAAAGCGATGGCTTAAGGCTCAGGGTTTGCAAAGATCTTTCTTTGCTCAAGCCCAGTTGACTAGCAGTCATGACCCGGAGTGCCGTGTTGGGAAGGAATCAGAGGCTGCTTCTGACCTTAGCAGGAAAAGGGCGCAGAGATACATTAGGAGTCGTTGCCAGTGGGTGTGTGAAAGAAGAGGACTTAGTCTCTCGGTCCTGTTTTTGCCTGTTCTGTTATGACCTGAGAGGCACAATAAAATGAGGAAATCCTTAACATAAACATATAACGTGGTTGCGGAGAAAGAGAAGTGACAGGGTCCAAGGCTGGGTGGAACTAGGAAGATCCAAGGAGGTCTGTTGTTGGGAGATGTAAACGGGGAGAGAGAGGCTTTGAACAATCAGAGGAAGGGGATGGAGGAGGGTCTGAGGTTTGGGCACAGGCTGGGAGGTGAGGGTGGGAGGGAACATGGCCAATCACTACCTAGCCCCCTTCCTCCAGCCAGAGCTCAGAGAACCCTCTTTCATTACCTCCCCCTTCCATAGGCACCAAACTGGACAGCTCCGGTGTGGCCTTTGCTGTGGTGGGGGCCTGCCAGGCTCTGGGTCTCCGGGATGTCCACCTGGCCCTGTCTGAGGACCACGCCTGGGTTGTGTTTGGGCCCAATGGAGAGCAGACAGCTGAGGTCACCTGGCATGGCAAGGGCAATGAGGACCGAAGGGGCCAGACAGTCAACGCGGGTGTGGCTGAGCGGGTATTGCCTCCTCCCCCTGCTCCCTTCACACTCCCAGCCCAAGCCACCCAAGGGGCTGTGTTTTCCTGAGCCCCTCTCCTTATCGCCACCCAAACATGTCAGGACGGGGACACAGAAGGGCCCCTTTCCTGGCAGTCATTCCCTGGAGCAGGCACAGGTGGGGCATCATGAGCCATCTGGTCTTGTCCTCTCCCAAGAGCTGGCTGTACCTGAAAGGATCATACATGCGCTGTGACCGCAAGATGGAGGTGGCATTTATGGTGTGCGCCATCAACCCTTCCATTGACCTGCACACGGACTCCCTGGAGCTGCTGCAGCTGCAACAGGTACATGCCTGTGGGAACCTGGGCAGCTGCAGCAGGTGAGGTGTGGCCATGGGGCCCTGGGCAGGGGCACTTTTCCTCCCCCTTTTTTTTGGTTAATCCTCACATTGATTTTTAGAGAGAGTGGAAGGGTGGGGGAGGGACAGAGAGAAACATTGATGTGCAAGAGACACATGGATTGGTTGCCTCCCTCACTCCCCTTGATCAGGGCCAGGGAGCAAGTCTGCAACCAGGGTAAGGCCCTTGACTGGAATTGAACCCGAGACCCTTCAGTCCCTGGGCCAACGCTCTTTCCACTGAATCAAACTGGCTAGGGCTCAACTTCCCCTTTTGAAACATGGTTAACAATTCCTGGCCCAGTCTTTCCCAGGGCTCTGGGGAGAGTGGTGTTAAGACATGAAAGGACTTTGACTCCAGTAAGGGGCTGGTTTCTCAATTCTGGCCTTTCCTATCTGGTGGGAGATCCCTGCTGGTGTTGGACGCCACTTTGCCTGGTAGATGGAGGACTTCTCAACC